TTCTCCTCTGAACCACTCTAATAATTAGGACTTCCTATGTATGTGGCCTCATCTGTTTCATTCTAGCATTGTGGGAATTAACAGAGGTTCCTCACACAGAACGTTTTATGTAATTTTAGTGCATAGTGACTATTAGCTGCAATTATTGTTACAATGTTATTTCTCCCTTTGTTTGGCAGGGGGTACTCTGCCATAGTAGGTACCCAAGAAATTTTTACTTTTGACTATGAATATGGCGGTGACGTATTTCTGCTAATGACATATTTGCCCAGGTCATCTCCTGAGGTGGAGCTCTGGCTTGGGATTGCCTAGATGCCCTAAATTGCTGGTGAAGTCTGTGGGCATTCAAGAGTTCGCTATTACAAGTTTCACTACCCGAGTGCAAAGGCCCTGCGGTCTGTGGACCATGGATCACCCCCTGTTTCAGGCTCAGCTGCTCCCTCACTCCCAAATCTTATCTCCCATCATCACAGGTAGTTTAATAGGAAGCCAACTATCAGTCCTGGGACTTTTCTTCTAAGACCATGAAGACCAGGGAAACCCCTCCATTTCAGAGGAGGTAGTTACAGAGAAGCCGGGGAGAGGGAAGGATGCTCAAGGTCAGCAGAGATGGGGAGGGCATGGGGAGCACAGGTAACATCTATAAGCAGAGCACCTACTCTCTCCTGGGCACAGAGCATCCAATAAGCGACCTCATTTGACAACACCCGCAGGACAGAAAGATACTGTTATCTCTCGTTGACAGATTGGGAAACTGAGGTCTGGGGGTTAATTAACTTGTCCAAAGCTGCACAGATAATGAGTGTTACAATATGGGTTTTTAACCCCAGGTCTTCCTAATGTTTGTGGCAGAAGTTAAATCTATTTATTTTAACTAGCTTCACTTTTATTTATACTTGATTTCAATGACTTGAATAAAAAAACATATATTCCATACACGTATATGTCTAGGTTCTCAATTAATCATTTCAAGAATGGAAAGAAATGACATTTGGACTGGTGTATAGAAAACTGCTCTAGATGACACGCTCAATTCTTCAGTTACTAACACTTAGAAGACAAATATTATACACCAAGGAACTTAGGGAGAAGATATCGACCTCACAACACTACTTTTTGGTAATAAACTAATAGGACACACATAAATGTATGAAGAAAACTGCCTAAAATTAGCATATACATTTTGTGCAGGAAGTTGGACGTTGGTTGCTGGTTATTTTAATCACCCCAGTAAGATCAGTTCTCTAGTGGTGGTTCATCTGTGGCTCTCTCGTTATGAGTTACTTGCTCCAATATGATGTCTAAAGAAGTGTATCCTTTGCAGTACCTTGTACCTTATTGTCAGCTGGAGCAAAAACACCCTAAATGGGGTGGCTTTTCATGTAATTATTAGCAACCCTAGGATGACGATGACTCCATTTGGACTTATGGCTGTTATTCGTCACAAATGGAAACTAAAGTAAGTCAGCAAACACGCCACTGGAATTCTCCAGGGACGAGGTAACACTTAGTGATAATGGCAAAGCTGTCCCCACTGATGCGGTTCTAAGCAAACACGTGCCTTTCAAGTAGTCAGGAAGTAACCGAAAGCTCCAATTCCCCAGGTCCCCAACGCTTCCTATTCACGTTAATATCTGGAGTGGGGGATAATATGGAAAAACAGCGGCTCTTCTCAGCCTAGACAATCAAACAAAAGCAAAGAAAACTAAACCGAAGTGGAAACAAAACTGAGGAAAGAAGGAAGACGTTTCTGTTTCAGCACGAATGAACGACATAATTCAAAAGGGACGCCAGTGAAGGAGTCAGTCACGAGAAATCAAAACATAAAACCTTTACTGATACCAACGGATGAAGGGTCACGTAGGCATAAAGCAGAACATTGCCTAAATTACGCTCCCCCAACATCAAAGTGTCAGGTGCAACAGGTTGAGAAATGATATTCAACAAGATAATAAAACTCAGGAAGGCTGATGGGCCTTTTATCTCTTATGAATTAAGTATTTACTAAAATACAATGAGTAAAGCCCCGTATGTTAAGGGTGATAAATAGACTGTAGGCTGAAACGTAGCCTGATTAATTTTACTAATGACATATCAGCTATCTTAATTTGAAGCAGCCATTATAGAACGGCAGATTGCAGAGTAATGTAGCATAAGGAAAATAAAAGTTACAGACAGACAACTAAGCAATATGGTGTCACAATGTTCCACTAGATAAACACATAATGCCAGACTTCCTGTCAGGGAAATAACAGTGGCTGGTGTGTTCATTTCAATTTACATTTTTAGTGGCAATTAAATTTCCCAACACAATTGCTTTTTGATATAACATGACATTGTATACGCCAGTCAAATTTGGTATTTTAATTCTAATCCTAATAATTTATTAATCAAATAGAACTTTAAAATCCCTACCAAAAATGCTTTCTGCAAATGCACTGGGACACGGAGGCATTCAGTGGAGATTTCATAACTGAAAACTGAGTGCTGACACTGCATTCTCTCTTTCTTTTCTTTCTTTTCAAGGAAATCTGCTGATCAGGCAGCCACCGTGTTGTAAATTTCTGCTACAGACGATCAAGCGAGAATTTGACAACATACACACACCTCACAACTCAAAGAAAGGGTATGTAGACCAGGCTTATATAGTCTTACACAAAGCCATGAAGATAAATTACTGAAGGGCACCTGGTTTGCATGAGGCCGACCTTGGTCAAGTGGCTTCCATCCCGGCTCCATTCCTGGTCTGTGGTGGGCCCCTGCCGTTCAGCTCCAGACCCCAGGGTTTCGTATGGGGGTTGGGAGTCACTGTTTTGCAATATAGGCAACTACTGAGAGGTCCTTACGGATCTACCCAGACACCTTGCTAACTTTCTAGTCTGAAGACAATCTTCCTCCATTTCAGTCAAACGTATTGTAACTAGAGGTTTAGGTAGGGTGTGTGTAGCTGCCGGTAAATACCAGAGACTGGAAACAGAGAACAGCACTTTGAACACTGTCCAAAGGGTGGACACAGGCTGTGACTTGAGGTAGGCTGTTTGTTCTGATTTTGTATCGGAACTTCTACTAAGCTCTCACTTTTATTTTACCGAACTTTTGCTCATGCCTATGTAACAATCGAGTTCATTTAGTATACTGAATTCCAAGTGCCTATGTATGTACAAAACTTCCCAATAGATAGAACCTGAGCTTCATTCATAGAATAGTTATTAAGAACCTACCCTCACGAGGCATTGTTCTAGGTACAAAGGAAAACAGAAATTCCTGTTCTCACGGAGCTTATTCTTTTGTGGGGGTTTCTGAATAAGCAGATAACTGAAGCTTTATTTCTTTTTAGCAAATGCGTTTTACTCATCTATATAGAATAATCTGAGACTCTTACAGAGACAAACACAACAAAATGGGAAAATTTAATATAGATAAGGAAAAAATAAAAGTACGAAAGCGGTGATAGTATAATCTTGGTGAACTTTAAAAGAATCCAGGGTAAATAGCCTGAAGGGTGGTGAGAATAATTCAAAGGTAAAATAAATGGCAACATATGCTAAATAAAATGAAGAACTTCAATACATTCAAAAACATACAAATTCAACTCCTTTAAAACAGTGATTCCGATGTGCATTTTAAAGCCACGGGGTGGTGGGGCTCCCCAGATGGCAGACTGAGGAGCCCTGCAAATCCTCCCCCGTCCCCAAAACCCTGGGCACTGGAAAATGTTGTTAAAAATAACCATCACCCCCACCTTAAATAAATAAGTAACAATCACACCTTCCAGATCATTTATGTTGTTTGAATAATTCTAGTCCTTTTGTGTGTCTGATCCATAACATCACATGTCCCTGTTCTCCTCCGGCCCCTTTGTTCATCTACAGAGACATATTTATTCTTTTTATGCACATTAGATTTCATACTCTGATTCTGAATTCCCCCCATTAGTCCTGATAGATTATTTTTGAAAGAAGTGTTTTTTACATCAACCAAACGTGTTTCATACGGCTGATGTTCATGTCAAGCCTCTAAGACATCTTCATATACCTCTCAAAAAAGTATGACAGAACTCCACTGAGCAAGGGAAATAAATGCCAAGAGATGAGGTAAGAGAGAGGACTTCAGAAACCTCTCATTAGCAGGGAAAACACACAGGCACAGAGAGCAGCAAAGTCTGCGCTGAAACCTACAGCAGTTCAAAGAGAAGTGGAAGCTAATGACAGGGCAGATCAGAGGCAGCGTCTAGAGCGTCGCGTGACTTTCCTTCCTGGCCACCAGGAGCCTGTCTCGAGCTCACGGGTGGGCTTCTGAATCGGTCTCTGTAGCAGAGAGGCTGTTTCGTTTCACTTTTCAATTAACGTATGTCCTTGCTGACAGACATTGGGAACGGGGCACTTTTCCTTCCCATTATGGCTTTGACTTTAGATTTAATTACTGTGGAAATGAATCAGGAAGCATGACTTCGGGCGCCGCATTGTAAATGTCAGCAGAGTCACAGTGTGACTTCTCCATTTTAAAGTATCAGTGTCACCCGTCTTTATGGGCAGTGATGTCATACCAGTTTTAGGAAGGGGGTTACCAACCTGGAGACCCTGCAACCCGCGGGAAGATCCGAGGCTTGTTGCAGTTTGGAAAGATTTTCTTTGGATAATGACTTAGTTTTCTTTTGTGTATATTTGTAACTTCTTATATATAAAGACACTGTGCTCTGCAAATGTTATGCATTAAAAAAAAAAAAAAAACCGAGCCCATGAACTTTGGTCTAAACAAGCTAATGAAATAGAACCTCCATGGATATTATCAAAATCCAGCCACATTCTCTTCTGTTGCCTAAAATGAGTAGGGGGCGATATTTAAAAGTGTACTCTCTTTCAAGCCATGGAAATGCAGTGAAGCTGTTCAGAGGTTAGTCCTCCAGTAAAGTACATATTGGAAAAACAAACAAACAAACAGAAGAACAACAACAAACTTAAAACAACTTTAGGGAAAGACAGTTCAAGACCAGTGAGTACCTTCTCATACAGTCCAGCGCTCGGATAAAGAAGTCCTTGTGCAGCTGGTGCTCGTCTCTCAAGATGGAGCACTGCTCAAGGGTCACTGACATCGACGTCCTGTCTTTGGCACTTTTACAACAGGTGAAACGAATACCATTTAGCTTGCGACACATCTGTAACGAATATACAAACCGTTCATTGTTCACTGGCTGGTTACTCTGAAAGGGGGGGGGGGGCTGAACTATTTTTGTCTAAGACACCAGATCTATGTTAACATGTCCATGGGTTCAATCCGCCCTATTCAATGTAAAAACGATAGCTTTTCATTTCAAAAGACAGGGACTAGGTGTTCATGTAGATCTTCGTATGGTGTGAGGAGCGGGCCGAGAAAGGCCTGGTGGCAGAGGGTAACCGCAGGATCACAGCTCAGGAGCAACACCTCATCGCGAAGGGGATCAGGCACCTGACGTGAACCCTAAATAACTACTATAACTAATATCTTCTTGCTTTACTTTTTTTTTTTTTTTAATCCTCACTCAAGGACATTTTTCCACTCATCTTTTCCACTCATCAGAGAGTGGGAGGGAGAGGGAGGGAGAGGGAGAAAGAGAGAGAGAAACATTGATGTGGGAGAGGCACATTGATCAGTTGCCTCCCTGACTCCAGCCAGGGCTGGGGACCAAACCACAACCAAGGTACGTGCTCTTGACTGGAATCGAACCCACAACTCTTCAGTCTGCAGGCCGACGTTGTGACCGCTGAGCCAAACTGGCCAGGGCTCATCTTACTTTATTTTTAAGCAACCTTTGCTAGTCTTGGTTTCCTGTTATGAAATTTCAAACAGCCCTATGGTACCAGTGCAGCCGATGAGGGAACCACTCACCAACACAACTAATAAGAATAAGGACCCTCCCCCAGTGGCCACTGCTTACTGCACATCTATTGTGTACCAGGTACTACGCTCATGAATTTCATATAGATTTGAAATTTAATTAACTGCACATGAACCCTGGAGGGAGGCATAATTATCCTCATTTTGCAGGCGAGGACATCGAGGTAATGTAACTTGTGTACAAAAGAATCGAGCCAGGATGCTAATGTAAGTCTACATAACTCCAAGAACCAAGTCTTTAACTTCCAACCCATTCTGTTTGTCTCTGTAATTCTTTCTTTTTTTTATTCTGAAATAAATCAGAAGAAGCAATAATCTCTTTCCTCATCACCTCAAGGTTCACAGGTGAATCATTCCATTCCTTTCTCTCCCCGATCCCACAGTAGAGCCCTGATATGAGGGACTGACAACCAACTTTCACATCAACAGTGCTAAGCAACATGCACTTAAAATAAATCTAATGTGATATAACACTAGCCTGCTTTATTATCTGCCACCAAGGAGGCCTTAACAGTTGCCTGTTTTGAGAAGAGGATGTAATAATGCAGTTTGTCAAGGGTTTATATCATGTTTTAATAGTGATTCTTCCAGTTAACCTAGCATTTGCCAGACCTTATTAGACCTTTCGTACATTCTCACTATTTCCTATAGAAGTGACTAGAGAGCCCTCATCAGTTTGGCTCAGCAGTTTGAGTGTCAGCCCGCAGATTAAAGGGTTGTGGGTTCAATTCCCAGTCAAGGGCACATACCTGGGTGCAGGTCTGATCCCCAGCCCTGGTCAGGGTCGTGCAAGAGGCAATCCATTGATGTGTCTCTCTCACATCAATGTTTCTCTCTCTCTCCCACCCTCCCTCCCTTCCACTCTTATCTAAAAAAAAAATCAATAGAAAAATATCCTCCGGTAAAGATGAACAACAACAAACAAAGAAGTGACTAGAGAAATGTGAGAGCATGATTTCACCATACAAACTTTTCCATCTAGAAAATGTACATCCTTTCAAGTAAACAGTATTTCAAAAATTGTAATATAAAATAACAAATGTTGGACCAAATTCATGGTAATAAAATATAAATTTCAATGTCCACTTATGAGATAGGATTTTTGAAAAGAATGAATATTGAAAACTATATCGTCACTGATACATGTGCTGTCCTACTAAGGATACTCCGTGTTCTAAATGTGAAGCCAGAGGAGGCTGGGGGTTCCGTCAGAGTGGACAGGTTGGGTCTTGGTTTCTGTATTTTCTACATTTTTGAACCGTATGAGCTTCATTTAACACATCCGATTGGCATTGGGTCTGCAGATTCTCATTTTTATTTTTTTAAAACTCAGTTAAGATAAAACCAGGTAGCTTTATATTTTCCATTAGAATGTCCAACTTTATCAGAAGCAGTATTTTCACGAACAGATTTAAAGCAGGGAAAAGGAGGCAGAAGTAAAAGCTTTCTGGAAAATGGGAAGAGGGATTTCTATATTTCTTCACTTTAAGAGTATCATCATGGTTCTTGGTTTAGAGGAAACCGAGGTGTCAGCCTACAGATATGCTATTAATAATAAAGTCAGTGTTCCTACAGAATGCCCACTTCCCACATGTGGGCGATGTGTACTTCCATGCAATGGGAAGTTGTGAATAAGCCATGCTTGGTCAGTGTATACATTTCAGAACAATATATCAGAAATGAATGGAATTTATGGGAAAATATTTTATTATTTATTTATTTATTTATTAATCCTCACCTGAGGGTATTTTTACATTTATCTTCAGACAGAGTTGGAGGGAGATAAAGAGAGAGAGAGAAACATTGACATGAGAGAGACACATCGACTGGTTGCCACCTACATGACCCCAGCTGGGGCCGGGGACCAACCGCAACCGCAACTGAGGTACATGCCCTCGGCTGGAATCGATCCTGGGACTTTTTGATCCATGGGCCAGCTTTCTAACCGCTGAGCCAAACCAGCCAGGGCACGGAAAAACATTTTTATATATTCAAATGGGAAGTCCGTATGCTAAGAAAATAACGCGGGTTTGTGTCTGCCCGTGGGCAGCCCCCACTTTCCTATGCACACAACTCCGTGGGAGGTATGTAACGACATGTCTCTGTCCCCCAGTTGTCAGAGGGCCTTGGCAAAGGAGCCGACTCCCTCCATGCTATCACGTGACTAGTGAAATAGCAAAAGCAACACACAACCTGCCTCTGTGAGATTTGTGTCAGAATTAACAGCCACGGCAGTGTTTGAAGATACAAAGAACAGCCACCGTGGGGAAAGAGCTATTAGAAACAACCCTCATGTAATGCTCTGCGGTGTCACAGGGACCGGCGTCAATGAGCTGCCTGAAAGCCACGCTTCTATTGTTACCTTTGATGTTCTTCCCCGGGGCTCCGGGGGCATGGGGGGCACTAAAGCAGCTCTCCTGCCTGGCTCTTGGAAAATTATTTTATATCTCGGCTCATGGTAAATTATCCATTCCTTCTCCACAGAAGAGAGGAAATAATATCGGATTGTAATTGAAGCCCTGGCAGTGGGGGGCGGGGGGCGGGGGGCGGGGGGCGAGGTTCTGTTTCAAACACTAGTGATGGAGAATCAATGGAGGGTGCTAGAAGCCGGGTTAGCTTAACTGCACATTGCATGGCTAACGCTGAGAATAACCACAAACGTGGACTTCATCACAGAGATCTCCAAGGTGTGCCTTTCCTAATGAAAAGAGCCATTCCTGAGGGTATGACTGTTTAGCAAAATTCATGAATTCAGAGGAGCTATGCCTGAATGGTTGCCAGATACGAGCTTGCAACCCGCAGGCAAGATTCTCTTGCTCACGCCTGTAGAGATCAGGAGTGAAAACGGGGATCTCCTACCCCGAGGGTGCCATTAAATGAGAAAAAAAAATCCCATATATAGCTCATTATCCCAGGAACAATCCACCAGTAATACATTCTATGCCAACATCTAAATTAACAAACACATTTACAAGCTCATTAATTGAACAATATGTCCAGGAGCCCTGCTGAGGCTATAAGTCAGAGATCTGATAACTAGGTCCTGTTGAGATCCTAAGTCCCCAGAGCATGATAGAGGCAATTGACATCGAAAATGCAACATCAAAAATTTAAAGACAGTGCCTTTTAACCATCAAGTGTCAACTGCATCCAGGATTTAGGAGAAAAGCCAATGAGTAGGATTCTTTCTCACTGAGTTCTTCTGATTTGTGCTCTGATCTATTGATGGCACTACCAACGACACTGAAAATGCTCAGTCTCCTAGATAGCAGAGGGTGACATCTGGTAGCTCAGAGTGCAAGGTTGGCCTCCACCTAGCAGACACCCAGTAATGCTGGCTGGTCCTCATGGCAACAGCGATAGGATGACAGGACCATGCTTACCGTTGCAGCCAGCCACAGGATTTCCACATTCTTCCTCTTCTTGGCTTGGATATTTTGATGGAGATTTTCTAATAATCCTTTTAAATCATTTTGTTCTTGAAAATGTGAAATGTCTAGGGAACAAAAGGAGAAGAAAGGGAAATAGTGTTAAGCTGCTCAGGAAATTTTCCTCAGTATCTTTGCAAATGCAGTCTATCACAACACATGTTATTTGGAGCACACTAGGTGAGAATAATCATACTTATTGATCCCCTCATTTTATTCTTGACTTAGAAATATGACTCAGTTCCCCCTATTCCTTAGTCTGTGTAACTGTGGTCATGTCAACTGGTCATAATACTATGAGACTAGCAAAAAAAACATTCTTTTTTTTTTTTAATCCTCACCTGAGGACATCCTTCCATTTTTTGTTCAGACAGAGTGGGAAGGAGAGAGAGGAAGAGAGAGAGAGAGAGAGAGAGAGAGAGAGAGAGAGAGACATTGACATGAAAGGGACACATCGAGTGGCTGCCACCTGCACAAAACCAGGGCTGAGGACAAACTGCAACCGAGGTACGTGCCCATAGCGGGAACCGAACCCGGGTTTCTCTGGACCGCAGGCTGACGCTCTAATCGCTGAGCCAAACTGGCCAGGGCACAAGAAAAACATTCTTAATGATGATGGTGATGTCAATCAAACATGGCTTGGATGAAACATGGGATATAACCTTCCATATTTTACTACTGAATAGCTAGCCTGAATCAAGAGAATAAATACATAGGGTAAATATAAAAATTCTGCAAAGCACTGATTTAGGGCAACCTCGTGCCCGAGATGCTCAGGGGACTGTTTCACAAGGGTCAGAGGTAGAGTCAAATAAAGAACCTAGTCTCCCAACTCCCGTGCCAGTAATTTCCCCCAAGTCTGTGCCAGTGTCTTCGCAATTAGCTCCGGGCACTGAAAAACAGTTCCAGGCTTACCACGATGGACCCACTTCTTCAGAATTCTGAGACTCCAGAGTAAAGCATAGTGATTTTTCAAAATAATTTAGTTTCACGGTTGACATGGAGATTTTTTAAATTGGCCATTGGAAACTGACTATACAGATCCTAAACATAATTTGAATGGCCACCCTTTGCCCATATTGGTAATGCTCTAGCACAGATAGACGGGATGTTCCTTTGTCATTTCACCCCTTCTTCCCATGGCGTGCTTTTTAGAAGGAAATCATTTTGATGCACTTAGTTTTCTGGTCACTATTTTTATTTCTGTAATGATAAAACCTGCCTTATTCAGAGCACATCCCTATCATTCCTGCGCTTGCTGCCAATTTTTTTTTTTTTCCAACCTGACAAAAGTCTTGTAGGCCACAGAAATTCAGATCTGGTTCCTGAAAGTAGTATCATAAGTAATGACTAGTTTGTAGGTGAATAGGTGAGATTTCAAGATATAATGATAGATCCTGATATAGCCACTGAAAATCACGGTATAAATGGAACATGGATTGGCTTCCAACGGAAAACCAGTCTCCTCAAATGCAAATATAGCCAAGAAGTCTTGTTTCTGCTACTCACTCCTGCATTCCTCCGACAGCAATTTTAGACAGAGCAATGACTCTCTGTGCCTGTCTCCATGAGAGTACTCTTTATCCAAATGGGGCTGGGCAATGTAATCAAAAGGTGAAAGGCACAAGGATGTTCATCGCCTTATTGTTTAATATTAAACACAAGTTTTTAAATTGCACAGAGACAACAGTGAACTGTCATATAGTGTTGTGATGTAACATAATAGTAGGCAAGATAATAACTGCTATATGCATCATCATCGAGATATACAAGAAACTATAGAAGGATTCATACAAGACAACAGCAATGTTATAAATTTCAATGTGCAAAACTGCACTCTATTGTCTATGGTTACATACATTTGGAGTAAAAATGTCCATGAGAATGCAAAACACAAAATTCAGGGCACTGATTTTTCTCAGGGGCAGGAAAGTTAGAGATGGAAATCAGATGGGGGCTTCCCCTTTAACTAAAAAATATTTTTTTCTTATAAAAGCTGTGAGCCTGAGGGATGAGTTCCCAAGTGTTTGTTATTTTATGATGTGTTTTTTCGTTTGTTAAATCGAAACTTTCATAATTGATTTTAAAGAAAGCACGGAGCCAAAGTTCCAGGAAAATGATTTCTCATGCCAAAGTTGCCCCTGCTTTGACATGTAGTCTTAGGCGAGTTGCTTAACCCTCTGTCCCTATTTTCTCAACTGCAAAATAAGGACAATAACCCTGTCAAGCTTCATCGACTTGCAGCGGAAAACAATTAATAAAAGTCTTGGCAGAGAAGCTACATTATTAAATTCTGTGTCAACTCTGAAAAACAGAGGAAGACATTCGTAGCTCTTAAGAGAGTTCACTGCCTCAGACAGGATGCCAGCTTTCCCGTGCAGAAGTAGAAAATGTGCTCTTACGCACACGCAGGTGCACACAATGATCACTATTAAGAACATTCACCAAGCCAGCGGCCGACTCCCACCACTTCCAGATGGAACAGAGTAGCCAAGTCCAGAGGCACGTCTGCGTACCCCTAGCCCTTGTTTTGTCCAATGAGGCTTCTTCAAGAGTTCTGAATTTGACATGGACCTGAATCAAAGACAGGGTGCTGACCCATGAACTCTCAGCTGATTGAACTGTAACACTAATGAGGCCAAGACGATGGCTTCAATGCCTTCAGGGTATCAGAATTCCAAGATAAAACGAAAATTACAGCTGTCTGTCCAGCACCTGCTCCACCCATTTCCTACTGCGGAGCAGGCATAACATCTGCGCGGGATCAATCACGTCCTCACTCTGAAGTCAACTGGTGCAATCCCACCGCCTGAAATCAGGACCAGTCCAGGGATGGGCGTCTAAATCTAAGCCAATCAGAACTTGACCCTGACCTCGGCTACGGTTTCAGGGCTGTGCCAGGGACCCGCGGTGTCCCAGCGGAGTGAAGCTCGGGACCCTGTGAAATGGCAGAGGGAAGAAAAGCTCTCTGTCTCTGGCTGAGCGTGGGAATGGCTCACGCCAGGCATCCTGGAGTCTCGGGGGAACAGGAAGTAGGATCGTGCCGACACTGCGAGCAGCCAAGTGATGACACGGGGTGGGGTGGAGGAGTCATTTGTTACTGCAGGGCCACTAAACCAACTCTGTGTCAGACAGGGGTCTGAAGTACTGTACAGATAGTTTACACTATTCAGCTCACAAAAGGCCCTCACTGCTTTTCCTTCTTAGCTCAAGGGCCACACAGCGCTCCCTATAGGAGTCAGTAGTGGAAGTATTCCAATGGCCCTGTATGACAACAGCCCTCCTGTATGACAGCCCTCCCATTCCAATGGCCCTGTATGACAACAGCCCTCCTGTATGACAGCCCTCCCCTTCCAATGGCCTGTATGACAACAGCCCTCCTGTATGACAGCCTTCCCCTTCCAATGGCCCTGTATGACAACAGCCCTCCTGTATGACAGCCCTCCCCTTCCAATGGCCCTGTATGACAACAGCCCTCCTGTATGACAGCCCTCCCATTCCAATGGCCTATATGACAACAGCCCTCCTGTATGACAGCCCTCCCCTTCCAATGGCCTGTATGACAACAGCCCTCCTGTATGACAGCCCTCCCCTTCCAATGGCCTGTATGACAACAGCCCTCCTGTATGACAGCCCTCCCCTTCCAATGGCCTGTATGACAACAGCCCTCCTGTATGACAGCCCTCCCCTTCCAATGGACCTGTATGACAACAGCCCTCTCCTTTGTCTGGAAAGGGGGTAAGAGACGGGCATTATTATCAAGAGAGAACACAGAGATCTTAGATGGTAAATTTATACTTGGCTACTCCTCATTTAAAGGGCAGAGAAAGAACCATTTCATCCGTCAGATCACCAAAATGTTTGCTCCAAATCACGTAGCAAAGGTGACGGTGACTCTAAGTCGTGGAAAAGGTTGTGTTAGTGATGTATAGAAGTGCTTTATTTCATTTTATTTGCTGACCCCAAATTTCGGTGTCTTAATGACCTAGGTGGGCACAAAAGGGGCACTGAAATGTTTCTGAGATCATGAAACCCAATGGGAAGATCAGAGCAAGAAGGGACAGAAGCACTCACACCTGCCCCACTAGACTTTCTGCAGGTGATCAAGGAGGCCAGGTAGGGTGTGAGGGGAAGTAGGTCCTGATGATGTAACGTGCCTCAGAGCCGAGGCAGAGAGCGCTGCCTGAGAGCTACGTATGTTGCTGTTCAAAGATGTGGCGGAGAAATCCATCCACAGCACACAGTACTCAGAGCAAACAGACCCCGCCATCATCAACAGCTCTATGTAACACAAATCTCGGGTATTTACTTCTCGATTCAGATAAGATTCTTCAGCAGATTTACAGGAAAGCGTTTGTCCATTCCTGGAACTCCACACTTGGCTTCAATAAATCCTTTCTTCATTAATCACTGATGCAAAATAGTTCTGTTTATATTATTAAGTTTTCAAGTAATTAACAAATTTGAAATTCATAAGTATGCTGGCTGCTGACAAATTTCCCTGTGCTTAATTTCATGTTGGCATTCAAACTATTTTATGTGAAATAAAATAAAACTGCAGGTGAAGTTTTCTAACTAGACGTGCACACATGGGCATACATATGCCGTTATAATATTTAGAGAGAAGATTTGCTGTGTTCTGAAAAGATCTAAACACTCTGCCACCTAAGATGGTTCAAACTAAATGTCAGAAAATAGGTCAGTGAACAGACTGTTCGTGATTCAGTAACAGGGAGACTTTTATTATAGCTTTTGTTGAAAATATGAAAATATTTCTTACTTTATTAAAACGTAGTGTCTTGCCATTGTGAATAACTCTCTAGCTCAATATATTTATACTACTTATAGATGAACTCCAAAGACATTTTTGATTCTATGACTTTGGATGGCTCAAATGTCATGTGCTAAATTTTATGGGGGAAAAAAACTGCAGAACTGAAGAATGGCAAAGGAAAATATCAAAAAGTATAAAACAAATGTCTATAGACTTGGATGCCTTAACACGTTTTTTACATAAATACTGCAGTGAGTACATATGATAAAACGGTTCCCTATATTTATATTCTCTATAGAACGTGTATTGTATCTGATTTTCTCCTGGTATGTGCATGATACATCTGCTATAGCTTATAAATCAGAAACCTAACCCTTTATTATAGTCTTTTACATGGTTAAGAATGACGTCTTCCAGGGGCACTGACGTTGATACTCTAGCATGGGCACATTTCCAAGAGCAATCCGGGCAGCGAGGCAGGTGTGGGCCATGCCTCCTTGGCACTCAGCCTTCTTCGGTTCAGATCATCTCAAAATTGCTCTCCCATCGCCTGCCCATGCTTCTCTCTTTCACTGACCTCTATGCCCGACCTCTTCTGAAGATGTGTAATCAAGCAATTACTACTGTTGTTTTCTCTGACTCACAGACTTACAATCAGGAGGCATCTTTTCCATAAATATCGTGTAATATTCTTTGAGAAGTTCAAAATTTTCCTGATTAATACTTTCTTGCAAAGAAACATCTCCAAACCTAAAAATAGAAAAAGAAAACAGTTAGAGGTCGTCACCTGGCGCCCGATAGCAGCACACGTCATCGGGCCTTTGTGAATGGATGGCAACGGCTGCCTCAGGCGTCTCTCTCCTTTGTAAAGCGACCTTGTGCGATGGTGAGTTCCAACACTCGCCAGTCCCCACTGGCCCTGAGTCCATCAATCCATTTTGACACGTCCAAATGTTCTCAGCGTCACCCAATCTAAACTGGAATGAAACGTCAAGTCTAAAACACCAGCCCCTGCGCTTGTTGTACACCACTGACATTCACTAATGCTGGTCTCCCCACGTCGGAGGGCTGCATCTCTGAGACTGAAATAACTCCCCTCTCTCTTTATCCCTCCAACCTTCCTCTTCACACATGACACCGAGGTGAGGGCCAGGAGTCCAGCGCTGGGCACTGGCTGCCACGGTCCGGTGCACGGTGGCAGGTGCCATGGGCCCACGCAGACCCCTCCCATCGCCCAGGGAGCGGCTCCACCAGTGTTTTTCTGTCCACACCATGAAGGTCTACACCCTCTGCCTGGAGCTGTCCTGCCTCTTTCTCAAGATAAAACCTTCTACCTGTCTATCACCAATCTTGTGTTTTCATGAAGCATGTCCTAGTTTAAAACTTAAAATCCACTTCTCTCTCTACAACCGGATGCTATGTAAATGGTTTCCAATATGCGTGTCTTCATCCAAATATCTCCAATCAAATCAGTATTTCCAGATATCAGTTAAAATTTTGAGTATCATCCTACCCTACCTCAAATGTAACATAACTAAAGAAATAAACAAATGATATTGAATGTAAACTGTGATTTTTAAAAAAAACCACATTTTTTTATCCTCACCTGAAGACATTTTTTTGAATTTATCTTCAGATAGACTGGGCGAGAGAGGGTGGGGGGAGGGAGACAGAGAGAGAAACATAAGTGTGAGAGAGACACATCCACTGGTCACCACCCACACGACCCCAACTGGGGCCGGGGACAAACTGCAACCGAGATACGTGCCCTTTGTGGGAACCGAACTCGGGACTCTCTGGTCCACAGGCCAACACTTGAACCACTGAGCCAAACTGGCCAGGGCAAAAATATTTTTTAATATAAATAAATAAAACAAAAACTTGACGCACCAAGCTTATACCTGAAGCTTACCTCTCAGCAAGAGTTTGCTGTTCATTGATTCCGACGTTAAAAAGCACGGGGTACACATGGAGTAACTGCCCTTCTTTGATCTGCAGAGGTAGAGACTCGAACATCCTCGCCGGGAGCTTCACCTCCACCACGTAATGTTCACTAAGAAAGTGGAGGACAAAGAAAAGAAGCCTTGCTTAGTTCATTCGTTTTAATGTTATTTTAGATTCGCTGAAAACAAACAACAGAACAGTTGGAATAGAGCACCGATTTAGGTTTTTGGCTGGTATCTGCTTATTTTCTGTTATTAACTCATTCATACTCATTTCATTCACTTCGCTATTAAATTACTTGGCATAAAGGACTGTTTCCATGTTTGGTTTCTCTCCATTATTCTGAGTTCCTTTAGGAAAGAAAGCATGTTTTTGTTCATTTTTGTACATCAGGGTCATGTGCATAAGAACCTTAATATTTGTTTTCTTGATTTCGTTATTTATAAAACCCAATCAGTATCAAGAATAACAAAGTAATTTAATGATTAAAAAAAAAGTTAACATAGTGAATCTAATATGCTAGATCACGAATAACATTTTTAACAATCATGGCCTGATTGTTATTATTATCAATGAACCTCCTTATTTGTGATGGCCTGATGAAAATGTAATAGTTTCATTATTTAAGGCTAACCTTTGGGAGTTTCTTATCATTTTACAACATCAGCATATCACAGGTACATTTTTTTGATTTTGGAAATTTCCATTAAAATTACTCCTAGTGTTTAGTGTTGAAAACTTTATTAGGATTCACAAAATATGGTCAACTAGGAAAGCTGCTTGTATATTTTGAAGCCTGACATCTTCTGATGTCCTATGAACTGAATATAGAAAGGTAGAGAGTTTTACACAGAATTTAGGGAAATCCATGTGACTCCAGGACTAGATAGACTGCTGGGATTGTAATACATGTATTGGGAAAAGAAGCACAGAAAATTTAAAGAAACTCTTTGTGAAATCTTTTTAGTGTCTCCTATGCATGTAGACAACCAATTGTCTCAGCACCATTTTTGGAGAAGATTCTCCATTGATTTCATTTGGCACCTTTGTTGAAATTGACTGACCCTAAAGATAATAGTTTATTTCTGAACTCTACATTCTATTCCATTGATGTGTGTGTGTGTGTGTGTGTGTGTGTGTGTCAGTCTACATGATCTTGATTATTATAGTTTTATAGTAAGTTTTGAAATCAGAAAATATAAGTCCTCCAATTTTGTCCTTCTTTTATAAAATTGTTTTTGGCATTATGGGTTCTTTATCTTTTCATATAAATTTTAGATTTAGCTCGCTAATTTCTGCAAAAAATACAACTGAGATTTAGACAGCAATTACCTTGAATCTACAGATCACTTTGTGGAGAATTGCCATCTAAACAATACTGAATATTCTAATTTGTGAAGATGGACTGTCTCTCCACTTACTGAATCTCATTAGTTTCTCTAAGCAATGTTTTGTGTGTTCCTTGTACAGTTCTTAGAGTACTTGGTTGAATTTAGTCTGAGGTAATTATTCTTTTTTGATGCTATTGTGAATGAAATGACCTAAATCACCACTGTTTCTGACAACTTTTCAGGAATGTGCTTTTTCCTGCTTTCCAATCCAAATCAAGTCCACTCCCCTCCTCTGGTAGTGAACCTGGTTTTCCTGGGCTCTCTTCCCTGGTGGCACTGTAGACAGAGCTGGGGTTGCCGGAAGCAACTTGAGCAAAAAGGCCACAGACTCCAATCATCTTATCCAATGCGCATGAGTTTTCCATGAATCGGTGCTTCGAAGTTTGTGTGTGCGTGTTTCCCTTAGTCCTAGGAGGACTGCCTTGGGCAGCTCTGTCCACCTGCAGTGCTGCTTTCTGAATAGAGAATCTGCCCAGCTGCTCACTTGGCCATTCTAGAAGTCCCCCTTTCCTCTGTGTGATAACTTTTGAATTTAGATACAGCCTGAAGAACCCCCTCACAAAATGGCCTGGGTCTGGCCGGTGTGCCTCAGTGGATTGAGCATCCTCCCATGGAGTGAGAGGTCCTGGTTCAATTTCCGATCAGGGCACATGTCTGGGTTTTGGGCTTGATCCCCAGTACGGGGCGTGCAGGAGGCAGCCAATGGATGTTTCTCACATCGACGTTTCCATCTCTCTCTCCCTTCTTCTCTCTCTAAAAAAAACCCAAAAAACCAACCAATAAAATCATATTTAAATAAGTAAATACATAAAATGGCCTAGTAAGCTTCCTTCATACATTGTGATAAAAGTCCGTTTCCCACTTTTGACAACAATCTTTACAGTATCATCAAGGTGTGTGCATGAGCGATTTTACGGCTCTTTCTTCCAGAGAATGGTAAATGAAGCCTTAGTTGGCAGATGAAATTTTTAATTTTAAGAGACTGTGGTTTTCCTTGATGTCTAAGAAGCAGCCACCTTTCATTCAACCATGTATCTCAAGTCCTTCATCACACAAACTTCAAAGTAATTTTCATACATTTATCATAGTCAAGAAAACAAGATTGGTGTGACCCTACTTAGTCTCTTCTCCTTTTTTTCTTTTTCTTCATCTCTCTCTCGCTTGAACAGAGCCCTCTCTTTAGTACACTCTCTTTATTCACTGTGGTCTAAGAATGTTTCCAAGCCTCAAACATCCTCAGGAAGCACTGAAAAGCGCTGACCCCGAATGGTTAAAGCGTGGAGGACTTCTGAGTGACAGGATTTGCCCTCGGATACAATTTTTCTCTTGGAGCACCATACTACACACCCTCATTTCTTAATTATTTCTGAAATTCTGCCCATCACATGCTGACCTTCGAAGCTGTTTATTTAAAACCATTCTCGGAAATCTCAGTCTGTGAGTGAATTGTCAAAAATAATTAGGAAAAACGGTGGTATATGCCCCTGACAAAGAAATACATCTTTTCTGAAATGTTGCTGCTTTTAACAGAATTTAATAGGAAGTCATCTCAAGAATTATAACGCTATTAACCCAATGATGCCAGCAAAAGTAAGAACTATCCAGAGCTTTACACTAGATAGAAATAAAGAGGAAAACGTTCCCCTCGTGCAAGCTGTTACTGCGAATTCCTCCTGTTTCCTGGGGAAGCAATACGGTGTTCACTTCACTGGTGTAGTTTGGTCAGGAGGCTACCCACGTTGCGTTCTCACCGGGAAGGGAAGAGAACCACACACATTGCCAAAGCGAATGTTGGTTCTCCTTCGAACAAAGCTCCTCCTTCGGGAGAAGGGCACCGCTTACCGCCTCCCTGTGATCGCTGGCAAGACGTCATTGGATTTGGCTTCAGTGATTTTAAACGCGACTTTCTTCAAGTCCGAAATGCCAACAGCCATGTCCTCCAGCATTCCGACTTCGTCACCTAGAGAGGGAGAGCAGCGGTGACCAGCGTGCTATTGGAAGACAATGTCCCTGGGTAGTTCACCGCGCTGCTGGAGTGTGTCCTGGCATTTCGGTCAGTGAGCCTCCGAATGCAGGGAACCCACGCACACTGCCTTCCCTTGAAGGCTGAAGGCTTCCAGCCGAGATCAGAGCCGCTCCTGGGCCCTGGGAGGGAGGGAAGAACCAACTCCTCATCTGCTGGGAGGCTGCAGAGAGGTTTTGACTGTTCTGTGAAACAAAGTGTCATGCAGATGGCTCTCCACTGGCAGGACTGATACTTGATTTCTAGAAATAATAGGGACGGCGGAGTCGAAGATCCTACCTAGACTCGTGCTGGTCTTATATCTCGGTACACAAAGCCCAAGGAGGAGGTAAGCAAGTAAGATTCGAGATCAGCACCGTCCAAGAGAAACAGAGTGCGGGACACATAGATAATGTTCAATTTTCTCGTAGTCATAGTTTTAAAAGACTAAAATAAAGTGGCGAAATTAATTTCAATTATATATTTTACTTTAATCCATATATCTAAAACACCATTTCATTTATAAATCAAGATAAAACAACTAATTATTAATATGAAACTCGGTTTCGACTAGTCCTTAAATCCCAGGCATATTGATGGGGACTAGATTCATTTCAAGAGCTCAACAGCCACACCAGGCTACAAACTGAACGGTGCGGTTCCAGGTATTAGAGGGTTGGGCTATAAAAACCCAGTCATTGAACTAGGTTGGCAAAGAGCCTTGTCTCTTAAAAGTCAGACCGCTGCTCAGGGAAAAGCACAGTCACAAGGTGAATGCAAAGGACGCAAGTGACATCATTTCTGCCATGCTTGATGCAATCAAGTTTTAATCCTCACGTTTCTGTTGAACGGAAGGCTCCAAGGAGCAAACACCCCCAGAGCAGGCCTCTGACACTCAGGTGTACGGGAGCCAGCCATACTCACTGTAGGTGCTCAGCAGCCCTTCGTACTGCACGACCAATCCCACTGTGTGAAGCTGCTGCAGGAAGCCAGGGTCATGCAAACTTGTGTGTAATTTGATGATAAAACCACAGACCAATCCAGCAAGCTAAAAAAAAAAAAAAAAAAAAAATCATTGAAGAAATTGACGGGTGTCAGAAAACTTTAATTTAAAAATATTGAAGACTTCCGAGGCATCAGAGATTTAATTAAAACTTTTCAAGGACGTGGAAGAAACTCTGTGTCTATATCGATGCTAAAACCAGCCTCTGGCCCAGAGAGGCCTGGGAAGGCAGCGTCGTGAAGGAGGAAGGCGCAAGGCTCTGGCTCGGCGGACAGGTCTCCCAACCCTGTCTCTGCCATCCCAGCAGTAAAACAAGAAAAAGTGTTTTAACACTTACAAATATTATTACTGTTTTAAAAAATTATGTTTGCGCACGTAGAATGGAGACAAGAGCACTCATTTCACAGAGTCATCAAAAAGACTCGGAGGAAAATGTGTATCATTCAGAGACTCATTTGTCACTGGACCACCTATGAAATAGGTAGGGACAGGGACAGCTTGGTTAAAATAGTCCCTCCGCCTGAAATGCTTAGGCAGAGGAGCCTCTGTCTCTCTCCCTCCCTGCGGCTGTCTATGAAACTCCATGGTGGGGTGCAGGCAGAAGGGATGAAGGAGACCCCCACAGAGCTGCTGTGATGGAGACCAGCCCTGGTGCCATGGAATCGGCTTGGATGGAGGCAAAGGGAGTGGTCTTGTCAAACCTGTTCCAGCCTCCCTGCTGGCAAATTTATTTCATAAACAAAAGAAGAGACCACGATGCGCCGTCAGTCATGGGATTCATGCCGGAGCTGTAGAAATAGCGGGCAGCAAACAGTCCTAGCTGGCCACCTGCAGTGAGAGGCAGCTGTCTCTCTCCCTCCACTGTGCCCCGTGCAGAGACCCCAAGGCAGGACGTGACGACAGCCCGGGCGGCCCTTCCCTTCACAGACTTTCTGCTCCATAACATGGAGGGTATGTTACAGAGACTGGGCCACCCCTTTGCGGAAATAAACACTAAGTTCTTCTCAACCGCTTCCATGTATTTTGGGGTGCACATTTATGATGAATAAGAAACACTGGGTACGAAAACTGTCAGGAAAGGATCCCTTGAAAAGGAACACTGCTCTGGGCAGACGTCTGTCCTCACCAAGGACAGCAGGGGACACCCCGCCCTGCACTGTGCTCGCAGCCCAGGGGCACTTACTGCTTGGCTGAAGACCACGTCCCTCCGCAGGGTCAGCACCAGGCACTGGGGCAGGCTGTAGGCCAGCTCCTGGAGCAGCACGAAGGTCAGGGACTGCTTGGCGCGGTTCACCACTTCGCCCATGCAGTCCTTCAGCGTGAGGATGAGGGGGTACAGCTGCTCATACCAGTCCTCTGGTGGGGGGAGAGGGGTGCAGAAACAGTGGGAGAGGTGACGGAAGGTCTTGCCAAATGGAACCAATTTATCTTTTTTTTTTTTCTTTCAGTCCAGCTATACATATTATTAAGGATTCACGAAGATTAGATTGGAAGATCTCCAGTTGAAATCTCTCCTCTGAACCCCAGATGTCTGTAACCAGCTGCCCACTGGGCGTGTTTAACATACTTACATTAGCAGCCCTCTCCTCTGCTCATCTCTAACCTGTGCACTGCCTTCATCCGGGTGGACGGTGCTACCAAACTTCCCACGCTGCAGACACAACATTCCCTGGACGTCTGCAGTCTTCACCTGTCCCGGGTCACTGAACTAGCGCTACTATCGTGATAACCCACCAAGAAGCCACCTTCCCCTGGCCCTCTGCTCTCAGCACTTGTCACATCACCTTCTACCCCACTTCCCAAGGAAGCTTCCCCGCAGCCAGGCCCACTCACACCCTTCGTCAGCAGTGGGGCCGGGGGCAGCTGTCTAACCTGTTTGCAGCCCACCCATCACGCACTCTCTGGCTTCCTCTCTGGAAGTTTTTTTAATGACGAAAGTAAATGTTGTTAACCAGTGTCACCCCCATACACTCAACAGAAAGGGAAGATACACGAACACATTCAGAACGAAGTCTGGATGCGGAGAAGAGCCTCCGGTGCCCGTCCTCCTTGCCCGTCTCCTCTCTCAGAACCTCTTCACTCACTGCCTCAAGGTTCCGTGCGCTGAACAGCAGGTGGCCCCAGACCCGTCTCTTTTAGCCAGCGTCTCTGCGAATCTTCGCCTCGATCCTGGGACACCTTCCTCCACCTACCTTCCTGGCAAACACTTTATCTTCTCTGCAGACTCAGTGCAGGACTCCTCACCTCCAGGATTTCCCCCGAACGGGAATAACCAACACAACCCCTGTACCCAAGTTTGGGTTGAGTTCACTTTCCTGCCCACAGCTCCTTTCTCTCGCTGTTCTAGAACCATCTATGCACCGCGGCTCAGCAAGAAAGGGGGCTCACTGAAGACAAAGGCTTTATGGTTTAGTCACCAAATCTCCAGAACCTAGTATAGAACCTAACATATAACAGGTAGTCAATCCGTTTTAATGGAAAGTTATGAAGAATATAACAAGAGTCTTTTAAGATACGGACAAGCATCAGAAAATCACGTTTTTGACAGTATTTGGAATTCGAGTAGGTTTCTCTTCAAACTAAGATACAAAATTGGAACCCTCTGTACTTTTGGTATGTTTAGGTTTCTCATGCATTTTGGTTATAAAATTATGATTTTGGGATAGAATATAGATAGAATTTTTAGTGTGTTAGAAAGTCTAAGCCCTGACAGATGTCAAAAACTACAAATTCTGGACTGTGTGACATTCCATTAAAATATAAATAAATTAATAGTATGACAGATATGATTTAAAGAAATGGAGTGTGTGCTAAAAAATTAATTGTGAATCGGGATCCAAAATGGTATGAATGTCTCAGCACAGAAATGTACATTTCATCAGGAGTAATGTCAGTGGTCAATAACCAGTTCAGACCCCTGAAGGACCACAGGGAATGATAAAAAGAATCATAATCACTATTGTACCACGTCTACCATCGCGTATTTATTTTATGTTGTGGTATAATAAACTAAATGAAATGAACCAAAATAGCTGGAATGGTAATTAATGACCTCAACTTAATAAAAAGATATGCTTCTGTTAATACTCTATGTAAATGCTTATGTGATGGAAAATGCATTAGGAACACTGGCAGTTATTTAGAATATGGTACCATTAAGTGTTATGCTATGAATAAAAAGACTAGAGAAAGGGGAGTTTAATAAAGGCCTAACAAATCTGTAATCATTTATTAATGGACTCACTTTGGGGCAGCCTACGATAAAATATGAAAAATGGTTCAATTTAAACAAGCATTGGTTATCTATTGATCTGATGTGATTACTACACATAAAAAGGCAAATGGAGAACATCACTTAGTTTCAGAATAAAAGACACCAAAAAAGAATACTCTATGTTCCCAGGTTTCTCATATTTATAATTCTTTTCTCTCCCATTCTCTCTCCCTCTCTTTGATTTATTGTTCTCAGTATGAGTGTATAGACTAAAACATGCAAATACAAAGAAAATAAATACTTCAATAAATTGACCTTGATGTAGATCTTAAAAGATAGACTACAAACCAACTGTGCTTAGGTCTGTAGTTTCTACTCTGGAATTCCCAAACATGAACAAAGCTCGAGCAGCAGGTGGCGCTGTTTCCTCAGGCTGAAGTAGGACCATGTTGTCACTCCAAACAACTGATTTAAACTTCTCTCACACGTGTGTAGTTCCCAAGCAGCATTTGTTCATCATTTAGGGACCTTGCATCACACCATCCTGTGTCAAGTGGTCAAAAACTCGGTCATGACTGTGATATACTCTTTCTAGTTAGAAAATGGAGAACTGACCTGTGTCCACCCTTTTCCCTTGTTAGATGCCAAGTGACCACTTAAATTAAATATGGCTGTTGGTTTATTTTTAAAGGTCTTTAAAAGAGGAATAGTCACATATTACTTCATTAGCATCAGGACAATTTCTTTATTCATTCCTAAATGTATTCTCACATTTTTTTGACCAGTTGATTCTTATTCATAAATTGCAATCAGGGAGTAAAAAAAAAAAGTCTAATTTCTAGTCCTAGTAGAATAAAAAGAAATATGCTGATATTCTAAACCTAGGAGCATTGTTAGATACTTGCCCGATACACATAGTATCCCAGTGTCTCCATTTACTATAATTATATACACTTTTTATGGCTAAAATTTGAGGAAAATAAGAGTATAAGAAAACATTAATTATGAATGAGAAAAGCATAAGTGTTTGAGCACGCTAGAATGTCTTAAAGATAATAGTAAGCTTCTGATGGAGAAGCATATGAGAGCTAAAAATACATTTTTTTCTAGGAAAAAAAACAAAACGAAGTTCAGCAGAGACAGGAAACCGTACAAGCAAATGCAAATTGCAAGGGCTGGCTTTGTTCCCGGGCACTCTTCACTCAGGGTGGCTCTTGGGCTCTGAAATAAACATAACGCGCGTGACAGGCCAAAGACAGACCGAAATCAGGTCATAAACGCCCTTTCTTGCCCCAAACAGACCAAATCACTCTCACAAAGAAATAGCACATGCTTTCGTTTTCTCCTAAAAAATCTATGTTTGGGAAAAGAAAAGGCTGCAGTGTTTGACCGTGTTGAGACCGTTGTCACTTCCCCTCACCTTGGTGTTTCTCTATACATCGCGGCTGACACGGTGTTTATATTGTCCTCACAATAAAGCCATTTCCTAACAGGGATGAAGACGGTGTTCACTCTGCCTATTCAGTCAAAGTAGAACATCCTGAAATGCACACGTCCATGCTTCTGAGTCTAGTTTCTTCAAGTTTCAACTAAGATTTTACACACACAGACACACACACGCACACATACGCGTGCACACACACACACACACGCACACACACACACACGCGCACACACACATGCAGTATCGTCACTGCACCGACTCCTCTCCAGGAGCTGATTGGCCTGTTGACACGTAAGTGCCCACACTTCTGATTCTATCACTGGCTCTTTTCAGTGACAGAGGAAAATTAAAAAAGCACCTTTCAGTGCCCGTCTAAAAACCTGCCGAAACTCCTTAGCCCCACGAGCAAGAAGCAGAGGCCCATCAGGAAACCAAAGCGCGCAGGGCCCGGCTCCCCGGGCTTCGTGAGGTTCACTGGAAGCCGGCCCGGCGGAGCCCGTTTTCCAGCCGTCGGCTCGTTTCTACCATGTAGCGAGCGAGGCTCACTGAAGGATTCAAGGGACCACTGGCCGGTGGCCGCCTCACCTCCTGCACACGCCGCCTATTTCCTGTACAGCATGTTCACGTCCTCCGAGCTCAGTGGCACTCAGGACAGAAATACAGGAGCCAAACCCCAGGCACCGGGAGCAGGGCCCAACGCTTTCCTTCCAGTTTCTGGGCCGTTTTCTCCTCGGGCACTAGGTCCTTGCTCATTTAAAATAATTCACTTCAAACAAGCCGTAGCCATTGTTATCTTTGTGATCACAACTTTTCAGACATAGAAAGAGAGAGAGAGAGAGAGAGAGAGAGAGAGAGAGAGAGAAGAGCGCATGCCTGTTAAGAGCCAGCTCTGAGGACTCCCCCAAGTGGAGAAGATGACGCACTGTGATGTCTGACGATCGCAATGGCCTCAAAGGAGGGTGATAGAATTGCAAGGTTGTGAGAAGGACAGAGACCGAGCCCACAGCCAGCTGGGCTCTTATATACTGCCCCGAACTCAGGCTTCACGAACGATGGCAGAGGGTCCCTGGTGGGGCTGGAGGTGAGGCAGAGCGATGCTCCTGCCTGGAGTCCGTGCTGAGGTCCTAGGCCCGACATGGCAGCCCCGTGCCCCTCTGAGAGAGGCCCTGCTGTCAGGTACCATTTTATAACATGAACACCATAACCAGAGGGCCAATGAACGATAAGGCTTCCGCTCCAAATACCTTACAGCTAAACTCCTTTGTATAACAAATGTGGCCAACTCTGGTCAGAGAACCTGCTCATCGGAGGCCCCCAAATATCTGGGCATGTCCCAGGGTCAAGGAGCACAGAAAAGAGGCGAATCCAGACAACGGGAAGGAAAGCGCTTGCTAGGGCTCAACACCGCGAATGTCCTCCCTGCTCACTCAGAACACCCTCCTCCGCGTCTTCCTACCCCTGCCCATCTTCAGCATCCGTCTCCTGGCTTTGGTCCAGGACCGTTAAAAAATCAATTCGTATACGTCTTTTGTTAACAAATGCTAACTTATCGTCTGTGTATCATTTTGTCTCCATTTTTCACCGCCACCATGAGAAATATACTCGTTTGTTAGACAAATAGAACCTCTTACCTGTGAGGTCCAATAGGTGCTACTAATACTTATAACTCATGGCCCCCCCTCAAGGAGGCTAGCACAG